GTGGCTGCTAAAAGCTTGGGCTTTCCACAGAGAATGAGGTCATGGAGAGCTCAGGGTACCTGGGCTGGAGTCCCTGCTGTGTCCACACTCGGGACCAGCCTATGCCAAACCCTCACCGTTGTCCTGGCCCGCTGCTTCCCCAGTCTTGGACTTCGCCTGCTCATCCTGCAGCCTCTTCTGGTCCTGATAGTACTCCAGCACCTCTGGGGGCAGCTTCTCACCCGGGGCACGTGGCGGCAGCAACAAGGTGTTGTGGCAATCATAGTCCTTCAGCATCCGCAGGATCTGTGCGCATAGGGAAGAGAAACCATACATGGGCTGCGTTTCTTGGCCTTCATCGCATGAAGAGACTCCCCAGCAAGCCTACCTTCTCCTTCATTCCTTCCTCCCGACACCCCGGACCCTCCAAGCCCCTCCACAGCCTGCCAGCAGAGCTAGTGGACCCCAAAAACACCACCAGGCTTGGCTCTGGGGATGCCCCCATCTCCCTGGCAGGAGGCTGGGAATGCTGGAGCACTGTGAAGCTCCGGGAGCATGAACATGGGACACCAGCTCTCCCCTCTCACCTGCTCCTCAGCAAGGTACTGGTGGTCGAACTCCAGCGAGTAAAACTCGATGGGGAACTCGCATGGGTTCCTCACCACCACCGTCCCCTCCGCCCCACGGCTGTACGGCAGCACTGGTCCCAGCTCGAGCAGGGGGGGGCTGAACTCCAGCTGTGGCTCCAGCCCATGCCCTGAGACCTGCAGCTGGAGGTGTTGGCTGCTCTGGCAAACGTTAATCTTCAGCTCACTTCTGTAGGACTTCTGAAAAAGAGAGAAGCCAAGAAAGGTCCCCTGTGAAGTCCCAGGTGATGGGGCCTCAAATTCAATCCTTGCCCCAAGGTCAGGGACGTTATCGGTACCTCTCAGGTGAACGGAAAACAGATATTTACTTGTAGCAGAAGCTACAGCATCTGCGTGCTGGCTCGGAATAACTGGGATGAATCCGGGTGTGAAGTGTGAGTGGATATTGGGTACCAGATGGATCTAAAATGGTCTATCAGATGTTTTCACCTAGTCATCAGGGAGCGCATGAGAAAGGTCCTCAGGGTTACGTTGCCCAAACACAGTCCTGTTGCTGCTGTGTCAAGCAAACATCAGCTACCCAAAAGAGGCAGATGAGCTCTCACTGGTTAGAAGTAAGGGTTGTCTTCTCTGCTCAGCGTTTGGCTCTGGTCAAAGCCGGAGACAAGATGGTTACATCTCCACTAGCAATTAAAAACATCCCTGGGACTGTTCCCAGGCGTGGAAGCACTTGTCTCCATACTGTCACAGGCTGCCAGTTTCCAAATCACGGTGGCCACATACAAACTGCCTTTGGGAATGCTCCGTCATTTACGCTGACTCCCAAACTGCCCGGGAACATGCAGGGAGGCCGCGCCAGAGCCGCAGTGGCCACTGGCAGCACACCACTGCAGGCCACCATCCTGCTGTGCCCAGGAAGGCGTCTGCTGGGACCAGCAGTGGGATTAGCCTGGATGGACCCTTCCAGGGTTCGTTGTCCCCTGCGAGCGGGCCAGCCGCTCTGCGCCGGGGTGCTACAGCCTCCAAATACGCCCCAGGTAAAGGGGAAGATGAGGAGAAAGAGGCAGATGTCCCACCACGTGCCGAGAGGCAGCCACAGCGCAGCGCCCTGATGCTCCCTGTGCAAGGTCCCCATCGGGATTCCGAAGTGCTTCTCAGAAGAGGGTTCTTACAGGGGAAACTGGGGCACAGGGCTTGCAGAAAGCTCCACAGGGAGGTAGACCCCATCTCCTGCTCCCTGCGCTGGGCTCTCATTGCCAAACTGCCCTGCCAGACCTCCTGAGGGGTGACAGCGGCCGATCTCACCTCTTCCGTGGGTGAAAACCTGACTCGCACGTTGCATCGCTGTCCTGGAGCGAGGGCTCCAGCCGAGGGCAGCGCCTCGAAGGCACAGGGCTTGGCCTTCAACTCTTGGAGCAGCTTCCGACGCACGCTCGCTGGCAAATGTTTGTCCACCTGAGCACAAAAACACAATTGTGTGAGGTCTCCTTGTTCCGCCAAGGACAGACCTTTGGTTCCTGCCGTGCTCCAAGACACCGTCACGGTGCTGAGAACACCCACACCAAACCAGCTGTGGCCACCAACGGCCTAGAACTGGGGGGAAAACATGTAGACAGGGCAGGCAGATGGGGAGGCACTGTCCCCAGGAGCAGAGGAATGGGTTAAGGTGGCAGAGAAGTGACGCATCAGCTAATGAACAAGTCCAGGTGAAGCAGCCTTGCTCTGCACCCTCAGGAGCTTCCTCAAACGAGCTGGACCCCAAGTGCTCAAGCAGCCACAGGGGCAGAAAAGGCAAAAGAGGCAAAGAAAACCCAACCCAGAAGTTACGTGTTACACATTGTCTGTGCTTTACCTTCTTAACGGGCTCGTTCACGGTGATGAACCATTTACAGGGCAGCTGGAGCTGATTGTGCAGCTGGATGGTTTCTTCTTGGCACTGCCCACACTGGACAGCGGAGAACTCCACTCTGTCTCTGGAGAGGCAGAGGGATGGCACGGCCACATTGGCACGGAGGCGGATGTGAAACGTGGGGCCTCCTGCTACCTAGTGAAGGACAAAGCATCCAGCTGACAACCCAGGTGACATCTGCTGCTGTCCCCAACCTGCCACCTGCCCCAGAAGGTGGTGTGGGCACAGGGAGGTGAAGAAGAGGGTGGTACCTTGATGGGCAGCAGCACGTCCACCTCTCCCAGCGGCAGGTTAGCACTTTGTGGGTCAAAGCGCACTTCGAATGTCTCTGTCTCGCAGTAGGGCAGGTGCTTCACACGGTCCAGCTCCACGCTGAAACCTTGAGCGGACGGAAACAAAGCAGCTGAGACATACAAGCGCCATGAAATGTGTCACGAGCACCTTAAGGCCATATGGGTGGTGGCTGGCAGCTCTGCAAAGGACCACTTTGCATCTCCAGAGGCGCCTGCTGCTCTTTCTTCCTTGTCACCTCTCAAGGGGAAAAGGGTTTTCACAGCCAGAATCCAATGTCCACGTGGTAAAAAGGGAACATCAGTTGAAGAGCACTAGCAATTTCTTCATCAGGCATCCCAGGGAAGGATGCATAGACCTCGCCAAAGGAGAATTTCCAACTACGATTCCCCCACACCATGGTGTCCCATGGACAAAACTTAGAGGAGACGCCTGACCACCCCTCAGGCACAGTGAGTCGCCATTTGACGGTACTGCAGCCTTACCTCAAGGCCTGGTTTAGAAGCCTATTTTGATACACCAGAGGACCTCACAGGTTGTTTTCTCAATAAAGGCTCAACAGAAGTCTTGTGACATTATCTCATCAATGCTTGTAAGTATCTAAAGGACGGGTGGCAAGAGGATGGGGCCAGACTCTTCTCAGTGGTGCCCAGCGACAGGACAAGGAGCAACGGGCACAAACTGGAACACGGGAAATTCCATCTCAACATGAGGAAAAACTTCTTTACTCTGAGGGTGGCAAAGCACCGGCACAGGCTGCCCAGAGAGGTGGGGGAGTCTCCTTCTCTGGAGATGTTCAAAACCTGCCTGGATGCGATCCTGTCCATACTGCTGTAGGCGGTAGGGGGGTTGGCCTAGATGATCTCCAAAGGTCCCTTCCAACCCCTGCCAGTCTGTGGTTCTGTGATTATGAACTTTAAACAAAGCACTTTCAAACCAGAGCAGGCCCATCTGGTTGCAGCACAAGCCCGCAGAGCACACAAAACCTCAGATCGTGGTTGCCAAGAGCAGAAGATGCTGAGGGGTGACCAAGGTGATCAGCCCATCAAACCCCTGCAATGAAGCAGTCCAGAGGTCTCTGGGCACAGCTGCTTAGGACAAATCAGGCTCTAAGGCAGAGGGCAGGAGGTCCTGAGGAGGAAAAAGCTATATAAACAAACACTCAAAAACCCCTCCCTATGTCCAGTGTCTTCAGGTAATCTACCAGAGCTCCTTCATGGCCATGTGAAGTCTCTCCAGCACTGGTTACCTGTGTCACGCAGGACTCGTCTAGCGGCGTGGAAGGACACAGGAAACTGGCTGGTGTTGGTGATCTTCACGATGTGCGTGTGGATGTTACCGAGAATGACATAGCCAAAGTCCAGGAGGTACTCGGGCAGCTTAGCTCTGAAAGGAGGAGTAAGGACAGTCCTTAAACCTGGCTACGTTTCCAAGGGGACGGAAGACGCAAATAAGGTGGCTATTTCTGTATTCACTGCTGTAAAAACTCAACTCAAGCTCATGAAACCCAAGGCCTGACCACCTGGTAATGACTTTGGTAAGTCACAGAGAGTGTACGTCCTAGGTTTCATCAGCTACCAATGGGACCTGGTTTAATTAGTTTAAAATTAGTTTAAAATGGATACTGGTCACAGCTCCTCTGCTATGAAAAGCCATTGTAGATAAAGAAGTCCACTGGACCTCCACTGGTCTCAATGAAACTGCTCAGGCTGGTGTACAGCCCAAGCCTGAAATTGCTTCAGGACCTTGTAATAAGACCTGCACAGGAAATCTTCACCGCTCTCTAACCAGATCTGTCCCCAAAGCAGCACCGATAAATGCAGTAATCAATATCTAGAAGGTTCACCAGAAGGTCCTTTTCCAGAGCAATCCCACTCAGGAAAACACATAAATGATCCGTCTTGCAGAGCATCTTCTTCCTGAACTGGAGCCTACCATGCCTGTGGCTCCTTCATGAAGGAGCAAAGGGAAGGACCAGATTACCTAGGTGAGCCCTGCAGTCCCACCAGCATCCAAGCCACAAGATTTAGGGTTTGTCAACCTGTGTGATTCCCCGCTCTTTCTGCTTAGTGTGGCCTGTCAACTGGAAGAAAGGTGCCAGCTTTGAGTTGCCTCTTTCAGAGCTGGTGAGCAGAGATGGTGTCTGTGCTGTCCAGAAGGTCTTGATGGTCGGCACATGACCCCCTCAGCTCTAAGAATGGAACCCAGCATCTGTGGGGAGCTGAGCATCCCCAAAGCTCAGGGTGGCACTGTGGAACTGAGGACACTCAGCTGCTCACAGGGAGCAGCACGTCAAAGCTACCAGGATCACAGAATCATTATGGTTGGAAGAGACCTTTAAGATCATTGAGTCCAACTATTAACCCAACACTACCAAACCCACCACTAACCCATGTCCCTCAGCACTACATCTGCCTGTCTGTTAAATCCCTCCAGGGGTGGAGAGTCCACCACTGCCCTGGGCAGCCTCTTCCAATGACTGACAGCCCTTTGGGTGTAGAAATTTCTCCTAATATCTATCCTAAACCTCCCCTGGCACAACTTGAGGCCGTTTCCTCTTGTCCCATCGCCTGTTCCTTGGGAGCAGAGACCGACCTCCCCTCGCTGCACCCTCCTGTCAGGGAGCTGTAGAGAGCGAGAAGGTCTCCCCTCAGCCTCCTCTTCTCCAGGCTGAACACCCCCAGGTCCCTCAGCCGCTCCTCACCAGACGTGTGCTCCAGACCCCTCACCAGCTCCGGTGTCCTTCTCTGGACATGCTCCAACACCTCTTTCTTGTAGTGAGGGGCCCCAAACTGAACACAGCCCTCGAGGTGGGACCTCACCAGTGCAGAGGACAGGGAGACAGGATTGCTGCCCCAGTCCTGCTGGCCACACTGTTCCTGATACAGGCCAGGATGCTGTTGGCCTTCTTGTCCACCTAGGCACACTGCTGGCTGACGTTCAGCTGGCTGGTGACCAACACCCCCATGTCCTTCCAGCCACTCTGCCCCAAGCCTATAGCGCTGCGTGGGGTTGGTGTGACCCAAGCGCACGACCCAGCACTTGGCCTTGTTGAACCTCATGCCATTGGCCTCAGCCCATCAATCCAGCCTGTCCAGACCCCTCTGCAGAGCCATCCTACCCTCCAACAGATCAACACTCCCACCCAAAGTGGTGCCATCTGCAAACTTACTGAGCGCCCAAGACCCTTCAGACCCTTTCTGTAGTCCCCAGCTACTCCCAGCTCTGCAGACACGAGGAGCTCTTGGGGAGCAGGAGAGCACCACTGGGTGTTACCCTTGGGGCACCTAGAGACAGCGTAGGGGAGTCCTCACTAACTTGAGAAGCCTCTGACGAGCACGCTGGTCAAAGGCAGTGTCCTCAGGGGAACAGGAGGCGAGAGCTTTCTGCTGCTCCAGGGCGTGTTCCTCTATCAGCATCTGCTCCATCTGCATCTGCAGCCGAGTGTCCAACTGAGGAAAGGAAAGACTGGTTAGCAGAGGTCCTTCCCGAGGCACAGGGCTTGTCTCGGAAAGAAGATCCCACCCTGCTCTTGTGGAGAAGGGTGACGGGGTCCTCCTGTCTCACTCCTCAGTGTCTGTGACATCTCCTGCTCTCTTAACCAGGACCGTATCTCGAGGGAAACGATCTGCGGCATCTTCACCTGCCCAGCCACTGTTACAAAACCTGAGCTGGCCAGACAAACAGCCAGACAAGCCAGGAACCTTCCAGAGCTCCAAATATTTGGCTGTCTCCAGCTAGTGCCAAAGCAGCTGGGCCAAAAGCTCTCTTGAAAAGGCAACCACGATAAAGCTGGAGAGGAACGCTGGCAGCACAGTCCCAGGGCACAGCCAGGCTGCTGCTATTAAGCTCCGTAAATGTGGCAGGGTTTGGGTTGTGAGCAAAGACCCCGCAATGACCTTCATCTCCTTCAAATCAATCAGGTTCAATCAATTGAGCACAGCCTTCAGGACATCTCCCTGATGGAGTCAGGAAGCTCATGCATCTACAAGAGGGACAACTACCAGAGGTGGGCAATGCTGAGCTGATGCACGACCGTGGCCAGGTGTGGGCAGGGAGGTCCCAAGTGCCAGCAGGGCACTGGGAAGGCTGATGTGGGGCGCAAGGGGACAAAATGACAGAGGGGGAGGGTGGCACGTGCCAAACGAGGCAGCTGCCGTTCTTACCACGGTGCCCCAGTCGTCCGTGGGGGGCTCCGTGGCCGCAGCCTCCGCTGGAACAGCTGCTTCATCTCTCTGGCTGTCTTTTTCCATCTTTTCTTTCACCTCCTTGAGCACCTTCTCATATTTTTCATTTCCTGACGGAAGAAAACATCCACAAATAGAAGCGTGGGCACAGCGCCATTCCCGTTTGAGCTGGGAAGCCCCGCTCCCCCGACGCTGGCCTCTCCCAGAAACACACTCCTCGAGCAACATCTGGAAAGTGGATGCTGCTTTTCCTCTATGAATCCCGATGTTCTCTCCCACTCATCTTCCTCCCAATATAGGAGCATCTCATTCCCTGCCATGTGATGCAAATCCAACCCTGCCAAAATCCCTGCCAGCCTGCATAACAGCTTTCCCGAGCATTTCTGTCTAGCCATCATCTTCCCAGGACTCCAACGGATACGTTGGCAAGCTCTGCAGGATGATTGCTGGGGCCAAGCCCAAATGGGCTTCTGGAGACTCAGGAAGCCACCAGAGAGGCCGAGCCGAGCGTTGGTCTAACGGTCTGACAGCCCCAAAACCTCCCGGCTTGGTGAAGGTGGGCGTGAGCTGCCCTATGGGCATATGCCATGGGGGAAAACCCAAAGGACCTTCCCTGGGTAGCGATCAGGCAGTGCTCACCTTTGATGTTCCTGGGCAGGTCCAAGTAGATCCTGGGGAAGATCCCCTCTCCTTTCAGGGAAATTGTTTCTGGCTCCAGGTGACCCACTTGGATCTGGAAAGTCCTGCAGAAGACCCCAGGCACTCCTGGCAGGTAATAGACTTTCAGCACTTGCTCCTCGCCGGGTCCGATGTAACCCTGCAGGGTGCGGGAGAAGAGGGAGGGAATGCACCGAAGAGAGTTTGGTGAAGGGATAGCTCAGACGATAGACACGCTGAGAAAAGGATGCAGGTTCTCATATATCTATTCTCATATAGAAGAAAATATCAGACAACATCGCCTTCAGCTTTCCTGTACCCAAAAGCTGAAGTCTCCCCCACCAGGATGCAGTATGTCCCTTCAGAGGGCTTGCAGGGATTCGTTCCCCCGGGACAGACCTACAGACAGCCCTTTGCTCGGCATGAGCACAGCTCGAGAATTTCACAGTGAAGGATTTCTTTAACTGAACGGGTCATCAGGTGTTGGAATGCGCTACCCGGGGCAGCGGTGGAGTCCCCATCCCTGGAGGTACTGAAGGTTCGTGTAGATATAGCGCTCAGGGACATGGTTTAGTGGTGGGTTTGGCAGTGTGAGGTTAATGATTGGACTAGATGGTCTCACAGGTCTTTTCCAAGCTAGGAGGTTCTGTGATGGTGCGATGCTGCAAACTCTTCTCCTTCCCACCCCAGCCCTGCTCCTCCCTGGTCCCCTCACCGCCCAACAAAGCTGCTGCGAGAGCAGCAAAGCTGGAGGAGCGAGGGACCGGTGCCGCGGGGTGTTAGAATTTCTGACAAAGGAGCTTTATGCTCAATATTTAAGCCTCACCTGGTTAGCGCTGGCAGGGGACGGGCAGGGACAAGGAATAAGTCCTGTCTGATCCCACGACCTGTGTAAGGTGACCCTCCGGTGCCGGCACACCCAGAGGGCTCGGCAACTGGGGGGCAGGGAGCCCCCCAAGCACCCCTGCCTCCCGCCGGCGGATGCTGTGTGACAGCAGAGCCCCACACCCACAAAGGTCATTAAGGGAGTCCATTAGGACTGCACTCGTTTGACTTTCTTTGCCCCCCTTACAGCCCTGTCTCTCCCCGCTGCATTTGGGTTTTTTTTTGGTTTTTCTTTTGGTTTTTTTTTCCCCATTTTTTTCCCCATAACCCCCCTCCTGGGCAGCCTGGCACGGGGCGAGGGTGAATCACACGTGCTACCTCCGTACTCACCGTGCTGGGCACGACCAGGGCCACGCCGGGCAGAGGGCTGGCTGCAGCGGCCGCGCCGGGGCTTAGCACCAGGTAGGTGAATCCCAACTTCCCTCTGTTCTGCAGGGCCACCTCCGCTTCGGTGACTTCGTGAAACAGCTTGAAGAGAGGACAGAGGAGCGGGAAGTTACAGACAGGGGTCTGCCACCGGGACGCTCCGTCCTCTTTCGTTGGGTTGAAGGCAAAACGAACGCAACGCAGAAGAAGGGACGGCAGGGGAGATACGGGCACTCGACTCTCCCGGGTTAACCTGGGGAACCCCCAGCCACAGGGTACCTCTTAGCCCTGCGCGGGAACAGATATTTATGGCAGCAGGCAGAGGTGCGACGACAGCCATGTAAAGATGAGGACTAAATAATCCAGGGGATACGAGTCCTCTGGGCTTTGAGGTGTCACCTAACAGCTGAAACAAAGGAGGAGGCATCGTGGCGTTTCAGAAAAGGCACCCGTGTGCAAGTATTGGCAAGCAAAACACAAGCAAAAAGGGAGAAAAACAGTGCAATGGACACACAGCCAACAGCTGGAAACATCTGTGGGCTTTTTAACTGAAGCAGGGATTATTCTGGGATATTCCCTCCAGCCACAGAGACTGGAAGCCCAATTTAACTTCCTCCCTGCTCTCCTTTGTTGGTTAATCAAGAGCATTAAAAGAGAGCATCTCCTTAGACCTCAGGCTGTAGGAGCGGATCAGAGGATGGACGTCTCAGGGACACGTCCCTCTGGAGACCACCGCTGGGATCCTGCCTGCCCCAGGGGGCAGCGCCGGTTACCTTGAAGAGGAGGAACTGCCAACTTTGTTGGGAGGGGGTGGTGATGGCCATCAAAACCCAGCTTGGATGCAGGACATATCACTCAAAGGTTGTACTTCCAAGCCCTAGAGCCAACAAAGGAGCTGGGAAGGGGAGACAGCCCTAAACCGAGGTGGGCAGCAACCCGCCGGTGATGGTTTCAAGACAGGGTCCAAGAGAAGCGTGTGGTACCTGCAGCCCGCAGTCGATCTCCGTGGTGGCTAGGAGGTAGTTGATGAGTGAAGCCTCCCCGCTCAGCGCAATCTCGTAGGTCGGGCCTCCCTCCACCTGGCACAGGGCCATGACGTGGGCGACGATGTTTGAGTGGCCGAAAAAGGTGAAGGTGATCCACTGGCTCTCACCCGGCTGCAGCATACCGTAGAGCGGCAGGATGTCGAAAACCTGGAGGTAGGGGAGGAGAGACCGAGATGTCGAGCGTCAAAATTGATGCAGAAGAGCAGGCATGGCTCGCAGCAAAGGACAGACATGGCGGGAGAGGCCTCTTCCTCAAACACAGGCAAAAATCAGGCTAATCTCATCCTGCTTACCAGTGGAGGGACCATGGGGAAAAAAAAATCTTCTCCCATCCTCACTAATTAACACACTAATTAATACACTACATTAAAGTAATATGCGAGGTCTCCTGGCAGCAAGAAATTCTCTCCGCTGCAGAACTTGCCTTTAAAAAAAAAAAACCAAAACAAAACCAAACCAACACCTTTTACTGCCTTCAGAAAGATACGCGCCTCGGAGGTGAGAGCCCTCGGAGCCGGGGGGAGGACTCCAGCCCAGCTCATCCGACTCCTGTCGCTCTTCTCCTCTCTCCCCAATTTGCATGCTGCTCTCTCGCAAGACGCTACAGCAAAATCTGCTGTGGGAATTTCTTATCGACCACCCAATTAGTAACAAGGCAGATGATGCCCTCCACGGCTGCTGCACAGGTAACGTTCTCGGTCAGCTCTACATGTCCCGCACAGCCTCACCGATGACCGGTTGCTTCAGCAGCGCTGCGCGATATGCTTGGAGGGGTGTGAGGCCACTTTGTGAGCAGCACTGAGGGCCACCAGCAGGACACGGGGCCGCATGACCGGTTGCCACGTTGGAAATGTAGAAGTAAGACTGATTCCCACTTACCTCCTCCACTCCCAAGGTGAGGGGCTCTGCCTCTACAAACTGCATCAATTCCTTGATCTTCACCACGCTCCGAGTCTCTGCTGCACCTCCCAGCTCTGCAGCACCTTTCATCTCTGCAGCAGTGGATGGTCGTGGCTGGAAAACAAGCACCATGGGCTGCAGTAAGCAGCTGGTTGGTCTGGGTGAGACCGCTCTGCTGCAGGCTCCACCACTTCAGCAAGCCGGGAGCAGCTGAGATGGGACCTGGGAGCAAATCGAGTATGGGGAAGTCCACGCCATCAGTTGAGCATGGGTCCAAGCCCACCCACAGATGAGACGTGGGCTCCATCTGCACTTCCTACACGCAAGCTCGCACAAGGATGCCGGGTGTGCCCAGCGTTCAGTCCTGGCAGAGACCTCAAGGGCACTTTTCACCCTCGTGCCAGCCCAGCTTCGCCCGCTCCTGCCTAAGGAACATGCTGAGAATCCCAAGCCTGGACAGGTTTGGTTCTCCATGACAAAACTAGGACCACCGCTGCAAGGGAGGAATATCAAAAGCAGGAAAAGAAGGACTTGGAAAGTGCTTGGCACAACTATCCAATTTCAGATGGTGCTTGGGTTTCATCTCATGCACTCATCAGTATGGGAGAGCTGAGGATCTCTGCGGGGGCGCTCTCTCCAACAGCACCTTCCTGAAGAAGGTAGCCGAGATGTTTTTCTGTCTCGCAGCAGCTGAGACCTGGTGTTTAACCTCAGAGGTGGCATCTTCAAAAGGAACCTCGCTCCTGGGCTTCTCACCCCTATTTATGAACAAGGCTTTGGGATTGCTCTTGAAGTTTAAGAATAAGAGCTTCTTCACTAAGGTGAAGATGTCCTTTGTGCTGTGGCCTTGACTCCAACAAGAATATTCACGGGACATCTTCACGCCTGATCAGAGGTTACATCTCCCCAGGAGATAAAGCACCGGGGAGGGCAGAGCCTTCTCCTGTTTCGATGCTCTTTCTATCGTCTCCACATTTTCAAACCTAGCGAAGCTTCGCCAAGCACGTATTCCCAAACACAGAGCCTGTGCTCTCCCACTTCCCCAGGGAGGTTACATGGATGTTGCCTCGATGCAGTGACACAAGCAGAAGATGAAACCGCATTCCAGACGTATCCTTTGAAGCAATTTTGGGTCCCACTTCGCCATGTCCACTTGTATTACCCTGGTTTATTTGTGCATATGTGGCGACAAATCAAGAAATACAGATGATTTCATGCTTCTGTCCAGAAAGAATATCTATTCTATCTATTCAGCCACGCTATTCTTTATATCTACAGGATATCATTTCTCCCAATTCAGAAAAAATAGGCACTTATGACATTAAAACTGCCGATATTTGGATGTGAACAGGTGCAACTCCTCTCCTCGAACTTAACGCCAACGCTGGCACTTTCAGAACGTCTCATGCTCTCTTACATCCTTCTTTATTGGCCCAGGGGCAGCCCCTGTCCCACACGATGCAGAACAAAGTGCCGGCTCCCTCTAGTACCGAGGTCAAGCTCCAAAGCAGCGAGGTGCACCAGAAAGGTCAGCAGATCAAAGGCCATTTTCAAAGCCAGGAGGAAGAGACGGTGACTTTGTCTGCAAAGCCTTGTTTTACAAAAAGACGTCTCTGTGGCCGTCACTGCAATCCCAGGGAAAGGCAGAGGCATGAAAATGGGTGGCTTTAGCGGGGGTTGAGAAGGTGATATATGGAGATCAGTACTTGGCACGGCTTGATACAGGGAGGAAACTGGGAGCTTTCACACCACCATGCAGATAAACACCTCATTTAATGTAAATAAATAAATAAATAAATAAACCAAACCACACAAGCCTAAACAAAAAATACTAAACGCAATGTAGGTCAGGAGAATCTGAGTGGGCTTCTCCAAGCTAAACTATCCTACTTCTTCCTCCTCTGGAGCCCTGTGTCCAGCCGCTAGCCCTGCTGGCCAGCCTGCTCGGGGGTACGTGGACAGCAGGGCAGCAAAAAGGCAGGTGGGCACGAGCACGACTTTTTGGTGGCAAGCTGGGGGAGGCAACGTGAGCCATCAGCGTACAAGAAAATCTACCTTTGCCTCCAAGGAGTCATCTGCATCTGCTGGCTCTTGGGCAGGATCTCCTCCTGCTGCCAGGGCTTTGGCTGGCTCCTCCGCGCCCCTATCCCTGGAGCTGCCCTCTGCAGACGCTGAGCGCTCCGACCGGGCTCCCTCCTCCTTCGGTGGTTGGGATTTGATGAAAAATTTAGGTGCTGGAGGGCTGAACCTGGAAAATAATGTAACTTTGGTCATGGACCTGCAGTGGGATGGTCAGTGTTGGAAGGGCCCTCTGGAGCTCCCCCATCCCACCCCCTGCCAGAGCAGGGGCACCTCCAGCAGTGGCACAGGACGGCATCCAGGCGGGTTTGGGATGGCTCCAGAGAGGGAGACTCCCCCACCTCTCTGGGCAGCCTGTGCCACTGCTCTGCCGCCCTCACAGCAGAGAAGGCCCTCCTCAGGTGGAGATGGAACTGCCCATGGTCACGTTTGTGCCCGTTCCCTCTTGTCCCGTCACTGGGCACCACTGGAAACAAACTGTTCCCATCCCCCGGCACCTCCCTTGAAGGATTGATCAGCGTTGATAAGATCCCCCTCAGTCTTCTCTTCTCCAGAGTGAACAGCCCCACGTCCCTCAGTGTACTGCTGCGCAGTAGGAAAGGAAAAGACAAACCATGTGCAAAGGTGAGGCCAAGATGCGAAAAGGAGATGCTGAGAGGCAAAAGGGCAGATGCGAAGAGCGATGAGCCAGTACAGACCCACCAGTGCCCTCCTGAAAACACCACCACCCCCTCCACTGCTGACCATGTCTTCCCCACTCCGAGGGCCAAAGCGAGAAATTTGGCAGCTCTACTAGATATTTATCCCAAATATTTCCCCGCGGCCGTAGGTCAGGGGATGCTGACAAGCATGCAGCGATGCTGGTGGCTTTCTCTAAGCGTCACCAGGCAGGAGCAGGGTTGGAGCCCACAGCCTGCTGTCCCCTGAGGCCCCACCACGAGCCTAGGGACACCCACGGAGCCCACCGTGGGACATCTTCGCGCACACAAGGCAACGTGGAAAGACCCATGGAACAATTCCAGGCAGAGACTCATAATTAAACAACCCATTGATCCCCGACGAGCGCCAAAGCAGCGGCGATCAGTGCTTTGGGGTAGGAAGCTTTAGTCGTTTTTAATCGATGTACTGCAAACGTGGAGGAGGAGACGCAGCTCCCTGCTGTGCCTCAGGTATTCCCCGGTTGGAAAACAGCTCTGACGGCACCTCGGGCTATAAAAGGGCAGCAGCTCTGCTGGAACAAGGTTGTAACCGAGGTGACACTTACCGACGGCGCGATTACCTCCCCAGCAGTTCCTAAAGGCAAACTGTTTGAGGACCAATTTTGGCAAATGATTCAGCAAAGCAGTTTAACCGCTCGTTTCATGAACGGAGCCGAGTTTATAGTCTGACCAACATCTGCCACTGAAAAGTATATGGTTTAACATTTTCCATCATTCCCAGGTGACTCCGATTACCTTCCCTGTTTTAAACCACAGCAGGTGCTCAGGGTAACTCCGCTCATATTTCCAACCCCACGTGGAGGGACACGCTCCAGCCATGCCTGCCTGTCACCGTGCCTGTTTGGAAGTGTTCCCCTGTAGGCAAATGAGGCGGATTTTTTTTTACAGCAACCCGGACGTTTCATTCCCAGTTGGGAATTCGGTGCCTTTAATGCTGTGCTCCCAAATGAATATGCGCCTTTAGCTTTGTAGTTTATTATCTAAGGCTGGTTTTGATTTCTGGACTAGAGGCTCCGCTCTTCATAACCCCCAAGAGGTCCCAACTAACTTGTTCTTCCCACAACCACATGCAAGAACAAGGCTTGGCCCAGCTGAGGTCCACCACAGCCCTCCCTCCACATGCTGCTGGGACCCCACACAAGACCTCGGCACCGTGGAAGAACAAACCAGGACTGGAGGGGATGAAGGCATCCAATTGCCCCTGCGGAGCATCGCCCATCTCCAGTTCCATCTACGCAACCTTCACTGCTCTCAGCAGAGGCACCTTGGTGCATGTCGGGGTGCGCTGATGTGCAACCAAACTGCTCAACACCCTCCAGCAGCCGCTAACCTGGGCAGATGTGTAACGATGAAATAAATTCAGCTCAGCTGTGACGACAGTGCTTCTAGGTAGCCTGCAGCTGAATGGTACCTGTCCCTGGTGACAAGGGACCTGCCTGCAGCGTAGGGGTACAAACACCCAGGGCCAAGAGCACCTTGAAGACCGCCAGGTACGCACCAGTCCATGCACCAGTTCAACACATAGAATTATAGAATCATCAAGGTTGGAAGGGACCTTTAAGATCATTGAGTCCAACTATTAACCCAACACTACCAAACCCACCACTAACCCATGTCCCTCAGCACTACATCTGCCTGTCTGTTAAACAACCCCAGGGATGGTGGCTCCACCACTGCCCTGGGCAGCCTCTTCCAATGACTGACAGCCCTTTGGGTGTAGAAATTTCTCCTAATATCTATCCTAAACCTCCCCTGGCACAACTTGAGGCCGTTTCCTCTTGTCCCATCGCCTGTTCCTTGGGAGCAGAGCCTGACCCCCCCTCGCTGCACCCTCCTGTCAGGGAGCTGTAGAGAGCGAGAAGGTCTCCCCTCAGCCTCCTCTTCTCCAGGCTGAACACCCCCAGGTCCCTCAGCCGCTCCTCACCAGACGTGTGCTCCAGACCCCTCACAGCTCCGTTGCCCTTCTCTGGACACTCTCCAAAACCTCAGTGTCTTTCTTGTCGTGAGGGGCCCCAAACTGAACACAGCACTTGAGGTGGGGCCTCACCAGTGCCGAGGACAGGGGAACCATCACTGCCCCAGTCCTGCTGGCCACACTGTTCCTGATACAGGCCAGGATGCTGTTGGCCTTCTTGGCCACCTGGGCACACTGGCATGAGCCTGGCCATCATCACAGCAGCTGTGCCAAACCTGCTAGCTGCGATCCATCCTAGTGAGAAAACGAAAGCACGGCGCTCTAAGCTGCTCCTGATAAATACTGCGGGTTAATAACAACTCCTGAAGGAGAGGTAAACCCCCGAGATGGAAAAATCCATAATCATTTATTAAATTACCTTTAGTTTTATAGAATGGTTGGAGGCAACTTCGCGGGACCGCGGTGCTTAGACAACAACAATATTTTTCACTCTAAAGTAGAAGCCCTCTGGGAGCCGGTGCAGGGAGATGATGTGATTAGCGAGTCCTGCTGCGGAGAAGCACAGAGCACAGCGAGGGACTTTTTCCAGTGGGGGAAAAAGTCAAAATGAATAACAAGAAGCATGACGTGAACAGAAAGGGAGCGAGGAACCCAAGGCGCCAACAGAAAGCTGACCCCTGGGACAAGAAACCTTCCTGGCACTGAAGGAAAGGGGGTTGTCTTAGAAAAGGAGATGGAAGGGGAAGACAACACGATGTTCAGCATCAGCCCAGGCTTCAGGCAGCTCTCTCTGCTGGGAATCGGGACTTTCTGAGCATCTTCCAGCACCTTCAGGCCAAGGTTGTGTACGCGGGGAGGAAGGCAAGGAGCAGAAAGTGGTTCCTCCACCTGCAGAGAGGACCCATCCCAAACCGCGGGGGCCAAAGGGCTCTGGCTGTGCCTCCACCAGCACCGTGGAGCTGAGACAAGGAGCCCCCCGGCATAAACAGGTCAGCCTGGAGCCGGAGGGGCCGAAAGCAAGGTGTTAACCCCCTCTGGGTCTGTCTCACCCAAAGCAGTCCCCCCTCAGATGGGACAAAATGCATCCAGGAATTAACAGCAGCATGGGTGGACTGACACCAGGGAGAGAGGAGTCCTTCCTCCTCGGGCCAGGACAACCTTGTGTCACCCACTGTCCCCAAGCTCTGAGACATTAGGAAAAAAAAAATAAAATAAAAAAAAATAGTATCTCAGCCTGTCTGCTGGTTTCTGAGCCTGCCAGGGACACAGCTTCACGCCGTTTCCCACACCCGCCTCCCGAAATAGAGGAGCAAAAAGTCACACCGCTTCTGCGAACGACATGTGAAGATTCACACGGGATGGCGTCAGCCCCTCCGCTCGGGCTGCGCGAGAGCCCGCAGCCGTCAGGACACAGTCACCCCAAAACCGTAACGGGAACACCTGAGGTCCCTGCAGCCCCCACCGGCACCAGGGACACGTGCCAGAAGCCACCACCCCCCTTCCCATTAAGTGCAAGAGCTTTACCAGTGCTGAGACTGGTTCCCCAGTGCATGGCACCCACAGGCGGGTGAAAACAAACCTCCCAACAAAGCTCGAGCTCTTTTCAGGTTATCCCAGGGTTGAGCACCGGAGACCTCATGCCCATGAGGCATCTCAAGAGCCTCACAGGGCCCCGCGATGCCCTTTTACTTCTCCTTCAGACCGTCAGATGCATATTAAAAAGGCACTTTGGAGCAAGCCGCAGACAGCTCAAGGGTGTCTGCAACTCAAAGGAAAATAATATAATATGGGAGTAAACCAAAAGCCATCCCAGTGCGCTGTGTGGGAACACTGGGCTTGAGCTGGGCCACCTGGCCAGCAGCTGAGGAAGGCGGTGGCGATGGTTTGCCCTCATCCATAGTGACTATTAAACTGCATTTGGTCCAAACGGCCCCGAAGCCTATTTCTTTGCCAGAATAAATTCTTCTGCTGTTCTAAGGTTTGTGTATTTACTGAACACCCCCCCCTGAAATTCAGACCAGGCGGTGGAGAGACAGAGAAGTGACATTGCTGCAGTGAGATCCAACACCTCCAACTTCTGTCCTGCGCATGCTGGAAATGATTAAGCTGGATTCGGCGTTCATCTGAACGCAGCGAGCGGTCCTGGGGACATCCCACTGTGACCGAGGATTAATTAACTAAAAGTTAACATGCCATTTTAGCGGCCACTTATTCGAGTCAAAAACCCATCAGTTTTGAGAGATGAGGGAGAATTTTGATATCTTGTTGGAAAGCAGAAATTGTGTAGGAGTGGCTGCAGGGATGTTACTGCTGAAAAGAAGTGAAGATAAGTTATAGCCCTGGAAGTCTCCACTGATTTTACCGGAGTTATTCTGACTTGCGCTGATTTTACAGACAGCAAAACATCACCCATTAGGGCCCTCTCCTTCCTCAGGCTTTGCACATCAGCCAGGCGATTTATAAGCATCAGGTGAGGCAGTAGGAGGCTCCTGATTCTCCATCAGACAGAAGAACGCTTCTCAATCACACTCTGGCCAAAGGTCCCTCTGAACAAATCAGGAGCTCCAACGATAAATACAATTTGTAGCCTTTGTTCAAAATTAAACAAGCCCCGACAGCTGTAATTTGGAGACGCCATTTAAAGCGATCAGCATCAATTACAATCTTACCAGCGACTTCAAAAATTGGCTCTGTAAACAGACGGCTGTCTTGACTCCCACAACTGATTACAAAGGAGGTGAGATGTGCTCCAGCACATCTTTGTGTCTTTGGGGCAGGGATCTGGACAGTCACCGTTTTAAGATGACCGAGAGCTTGGCAAAGCACAAAGGCTGCAAGGGTTAAAAACAGGAGGAAGCAGGAGGGGGGGCAGAGAACCAGTTGAGCACCACCAGCTGGAAGCAGCAGGCTGGTCCTGGGTGTCTCAGACAGGCGAGCAGAAGGCTCCCAGCCACGGGAAGAGAGATACTCTTCATCTGTCGTCTCCTTTGGGTAAAGGCTGGAGGAGACCAAAGCTGGATCTCAACAAGCTTGTGAAAGGGGTGAACAGGATACAGCTTGAGATGGTAGGGACCAGGCTGGGTGGGCTTGGCAGGCCAGCTTCACCCTACAAGCAGCCAAAAAGCAGCTCAAGCCTGAGCTGAGACATGCCAAGAGTTGAGGACCAGCGTGTACCCGGGCTCTTCTGCCCACCAGCGAGCATTGCCGTCCCTCCATGGTGCCAAGAGCAGAGTGAGGAAAAGGAAGACGACAAGATGACGGAGCCTGTCCTGAAGTCCTCACCTAGAAGGAAACGTCCTTGCTCGTCTCGACCGCTTCTGCTGAATCCCAGAAGGTGTCTCCACCGGCCCACGCTGATGCAGGCTGCCCGGCACGTCCCGGGCAAGCAGCGATGCCACAGCCCAGCGCGCTCTCCCAGCAGGACTCTGCCGCGGGTCACCGCACAGGAAAGGCAGAAGGTGGTAAAGCAGCAACGATAACGAACGCAAAAAAAAAAACCCAAACTAAAAAAAGCCCCAAGTTTAATACACTTCCTAGGGTCACATCCCCAAATAAATCAGACAGATGCTGAAGCTCCACCCTGCTGAGCACGCCGGCATTGCCAGCCATCCCCTGTCCGGAAGGAGAGGGGCTCGTCACAGCAGCAGAAATCACAGATTTAAGGCTGCGCGTGGTTTTTCCCCTGATTTATAGGGTCGGTGTAAGCAGCTGGTTAACATCGCTGCTGAGTTCTTATTAAAGGTCTCACAGAGTCCAACGTAATTACCCCTCGCTTTACCGAGAGCAAGGCAGGCGTACTCCTGGGAACGTGCTCTCAGCCCTGCTGAGCTCCTGGGGACGGGGCGAGGGACCACCAGACGGGATTGGCCTGGTCCAGGCGACGCTGGGGACGAGTGTGGGGTGATGGAGTCACGCGGGTGAGGGCGAGGGGACAGTCACCACCACAGAGGAAGCAAGCAAAGCAAGCTCACAGTTGGAAAGGTTTCCCCCGGAGGAGAAAGATGACTTTCCCAAGGGCAGAGGGGCTGAAAAGGCGGCAATGAGTTGGGTGCTCGCAAAAATCCATGGCATGGCAGCTGGCCCAGAAGGACCCGTGGGGTGCCCGACTCCCCTGGGAACTCCGGCTTCTCTCTGCCACGCGAAGCAGACGGTGGGGGAATAAATAAATCCTTCTCGCACGATCCCACATCACTAACTCCGAGGTGGACATCTCACTGGGGCTGCCCCACTCTTGGCAGAGAGATTTTGGACAGAAAAGAAATACACGATGATGTCTTTGGAAACGATCCCCGTGACTGGGATTCTCCTCATCCACCTTAAACCAGCCAGCAAGCAGCAAGGGATCCATACCCACCCAGACCTCATGCTGTCCGTCCATCCACCCAAAATCAGCACTCCAGCCTCACACAGGACTAAATCCTCGTTCTCCAGAAGGGTTTTTGCTGTGAATCCCTGTCTCAGCAGCAGCCAGCCCAGGGCTGGATGGGACGGGCAGGAAAGCCGGGCTCTCCATCATCTCTGCATTGGGAAGCGCCTTGGACTGGAAGGAATCAGCACAAAAATCCCCAGTGCAGATTTATGCCCAAAAACTTGTGAAGATTCGGCACTTGGATTCAAATTTGGCTTGAGCCCCATATCTCAAGAATTTATAGGTTTCTCAGCTGCCCTGTGAAGACAGGGATGCACCAAAGAGCACAGCGATACTCGGAACGACACCCTTGGGCTGAGCGGTGCCAGTGGGTTCAGATGGATTTTTTTCTCTTAAGGAACGCTTGAGCTTTCCTCGTTGAGCTTGAGCTCTGCATCCTTAAGGATGCTTTTTGCAGGGAGCTGGAAAAGAGTGAAGGGTGAGAACCAGCTGGAGAAATTAAGAGAAACCCCAGGTCTGGAAAATGATGTCCCTTCACTCATCATTGCCACACGCAAGTGACAGCAGGTCAGCAAAGAAACAGGAGTAAACGGCCCACCCTGCCACCCAGATTCCATCTGACGGCTTCCCTACTCAGTGCTCTGCCAGAGAGATGAAGCCGAAGCGACGGCAGCCGAATCGATGCTCTCGCTCTGCCTCAGCCAGGCAGCGAGCTGCTCCCAGGGACCAAATAAAAAAAAAATAATTATATAAATCCAAATGATTTTAAATGACCAAAAAAAAAAAAAAGACGAAAATAAAAGATCGTCATTTTGTTTCACCAACAGCAAAGCTCCGCAGAGTGGAGCGGCAGCCCCGAGGGAATTCGAGCCCGAGCCACCTAGGCAGCACGGGCGCAACGGCATTGATCGGGAGGAAGACGCTGTTGGTGGCGCAAGCGTAGCTCAGGTTCCCACTGCGTGCCGTGGGTAACCACGATGTTCAGATGTTCAGAAAGCAGAGAGAGGAGTCGGCAGCTCCCCAGGTTTGCTAACTGAACATCACTGCCAGAGCAAGAAGTCATCTTCCAGCCAGCGTTTGCTGGCCGGCTATAAAACCAGAAGGCAACCCCCGTCCAACCACATGGACATCTCCCATACTTCATCCTGATGGCACAGGACAGAGCCAGGGAGACAGCCAGCTGCCTGCCAGCACCTTGGGTGGGACGTGCGGTGCTTTTTTAACCCCACTAATGCTTTCTCCTTCGCTTTCCCTGCCCTCAGTCCACTCCTCCGACACCCTGCTGCCACCAAGGTGAAGGGGTCTGTCACCCTTGCGCAAAGCAGGAGGCTGAGCCCTCAGAAAACCCAAGCGTAATAGGTAAAGCCATTCCCACGCAGCCACTCCAGGCTCCAACTTCTCTTGCAATGGCCCAGGTGAAAGTCCTCCAGGTACGTGACAGCATGACCGGTGGTCAGAAGCACTGGGGCAGCAGAAGCAGTCTAAAATCTGCAGCTTCCCAGCAAATGAGCAGGGGAAAAGGCGCCTCGTGCTGGAAGGCACTGAGGTAGAGAATGCACAGTGAGGGTCACCATGCTGAAGGTGAAGATCATAGAATCACAGAATGGTTTGGGTTGGAAGGGACCTTGAAGATCATCCAGTCCAACCCCCTGCCCTGGGCAGGGACACCTCCCACCAGCCCAGGTTGCTCCAAGCC